ATCACTGATAAAGTCGGATGGTTATAAAAGTTGTTTCTTCCTGTTGAGGTGGTGGATCAGCCAATCAGCTCTCTGCTTCCTCCGTTTTCAAACTAAAGGTCCTCCCAGGAGCTCTAAAGAACTTTGGGACAAACTTTTACGTCCAAAAGAGAAAAATCTAAAATCTTCTGTTTTTTTTTTAAGACCTACTTTATAAGAGTTCTTGGTGAAAATGAGCTCTGCTTCTGACCACTAATGAAAGTTCTGAACCCAACACAGATCCTCCGTTCAGCCATTAAGCTGTGGTTCTGTCAATGGTTTGATTTCAACTTTGGTCTTTAGCTCATTTCATCAGCGGCTCTGATTAATGTGGAATTAGGACCTTTTTCCACTTTGAAAAGGTTTGCATTAGAACTAAGACAGAAGGTTAATCTGTGCCTATTTAACCAAATATAGTCTAAATATGTCTGTTATATGTGGATTTATCCTGTATTTTCTTTTGAAGATATAGAAATGTGCAGAGGTAAACAGAGGTAAACCCACTCTTACATTTTATATTCTCTCTCTGTATCATGAAACAAAGCAAAATAATACATTTAAGGGATGAAAAATAAATGTACTTTATATACATAAGCACAGAAACTAGAAGAGGAACTGAGCATTTAAAATATTAACCTAAATATACAAGTTGGACATCTGGGCTGCAGTTACTCTGTTTAACCCATTTCATGTATTTTATAAATGGCTGAAAAAAATCCAATTAGATTAATCGATTAATGACATCATCAACTCATTTAGAAATTGATTAATTGTTGACCGGAGTATAGAGACTCTAAAACCTGCCTTTAGCTGACAGAGCGAACCTCTTAGAGCAGCAATTACATCAAAATTATAAAAAAAATAGATATATACAATTTTTCCATTTTAGATAAAAAATGTATTCATATTTTATTATTCTCCATCCAGATCTATAAAAAGGAAACTTTCTGTTTTATCTGGTTTAATTTCCTAAAAACTCATTCTCGTCGGATGAACTGATTTGCAAAAATAATCATTAGTTGCTGCCCTAATTTTATAGTTACATTCCAAACACATTTCTTACATAATAATCTGTAGCGTAGATAAAAGCAAACCGACCAAACATGAACATAAATCAGGAAAAATATAATAAAATTCATCATTAATGAGCTGCAACAGAATCTAATTACTGAACCAAATGAAACTCTCAGCTGAAGCCACTTCTCCCTCTACCTGTGCTGCAGCATCATCAATCATTGTTTAAGTTCCCTAAATTCAGCTAAATCACAAACTGATATTTACACATTGAATGTTAATAATGCTTCAGTCTACCAGAAAAATGCTAAAATAAATAAATAATTTGACTGGTTTCTGATCAGTGGGATGCTAACTGGGAACCAGGGTTAAATGCACATAAATCACCATGGCAACTAATGTGTTACTGGTTTGCTTTTGGCCAAAATATCCAGAAAATCCCGACTTAGTGCCTGATGTGGCTTTTGTTGGGGCTCTGGTTGGTTTGACTGGGTTTCTATCTCTTTCATCAGTTTGGAAAGAGCTTCTGGATTCACTCGATGACTTCTTCATATTACATCAGGCAAAGGTTTGGGGGGGGGTATGGATGTAGGGAAAAACAAAAATCTGACCTTTTGTCGTAAGTAGTGACGAGTTTCCCTGTGAACCCGAGAGCTTTCTGTCAGTAAACTCAGGACAGGAGTTAGCTTCTCCTTCAGCTTCAGACCCTGAGAAGAAGAACAAGGAACAATCAGTATCAACTTAAACAGGCCTTTTATCAGACAACCAGAACCAGCTTAAAAA